TTGATTTTGTGGGGTGGGACACTGTAGATGTGTATTAAGTCCATTTGTTCAAAAGCTTGGTTCAGTTCTAGTATTTCATTGTTTTTTGTTTTGTTTTGTTTTTGTCTAGATGACCTGTTTGTGACAGTGAGGTATTTAGGTTTCCCACTATAATTGTATTAGTGCTTATTTGGCTTTTAATGTCCCTTAATATTTGTTCTGTATAGCTGGGGGTATTAGTATTTGGTGTGTGTATATATATATTTTGTGTTGCGGGGGGTACTGGGGATTGAACTCGGGTCCTTGTGCTTTCAAGGCAGGCAGCAGAACCATTGAGCTAAATCCCTGGCCCTGGTACATATATATTTTTGATTTGGACTTTTCCTTTTAAAATGATTTGTGAATGCATTCTGAAAGATCCAGAAATACTTTTTGTTTCTAGCTTATTCGCCAGGGAGATACGGAATAATGCGTTATTTAGACCATGATTTCTTCAAGCGTTGGGAATAATTTTTTTTTTCTCTTATTGAGTTCATTGGTACATTTTAAGTATACAGTACAGTTACCTTCATTATTGGGATCTTGTACCTTTACATGACAGGTCTTGGTTCTCATTTTCTCCCCATACCCCTGTCCTCCCTTCACCCCCTCCTCCCTTCCCTATTTACAAATACTTTATTTCCATTTTTTCGTTTTCTCATATTTTAATAATTTCTTTTTTGTATTAGCATTCCTTTACATTATTAAGAACAAAAAAGCAGGTAGTGTCATCATCATTGTACAGATGGCTAATAGGAAATGTTAGGAAGCTAAAAATAAATTACTTAGAATATTTCACTTGCATTCTATTATAAAACAAGCTATATTTCATACAGTACATATTCATTCTGATTCAAAGTAGGAACACTCAGCACAAAGTAAAATAAACAGAGGTTGAATTACTCTGAGAGGAATGGGGTACCGTGAATTTGTCGTTAATATGTGCACATAGATCTTACCAGTCAAGATTTATTGTGGTTGCATATGTTGAATTGATGTAATTAAGAGCTGTTTTCTGTGTTTAATTTGAATGTACTTCTTCCTTTTGGTTTTTATATGGAAGACAAATTTTCAGTTGGAAGGAAATTAATCGGTTACCAAAAAGGCCACAGCACAAGTAAAACAGGGACAGAGTAGGTATAAGGGAAAACCCTTATGTTATAAAAGAAGTTGTTGCTTTGACAGTGCTTATTCAAAGAACAATAGTACTGGAAAAGTTACAGTCCTGCTGCGTCCTCCATCTCTGGTGAGATGTGCCACTAAGCTGAGTTGCACACAGCAGGCTCAGGGTGGGTACTCACCTAGTCTGAGACCTGAGCAAGACTGAGCACGTGGCACTGCCTTCTGTGTCGTGGTACTCCCTGGGTCATTTTCTGTGGTTGTGATCAGGCAGTCACTTCTTTTTGTTGGTGGGCTTTGGGGGGTCTCTTTTGGTGGGTGGGGGTGAGCAAAAGCCATAGGAAGAAAAATATGATGTATGTGTCCAGAGTGTACTATTTTGTTTTTGTTTTGCAAGAAGATTTAACTATTTTTGATGATAAGAGTAAATGGTGGAAATGAAAAAAAAAAGATTTTTATCAATTAAAATTTGCTCACTGACTTGAAACCAGAGAATTCCAAAGCTTGTGCTAGCTCCTAAACATGTGAGAGGAAGCCTGGAGAACACCACAGTGCTGATGAGGCCGCAGAGAAGAGGACTTGCAGGCGAAGGGTTGGCGCGCTCAGGAGCTAAGGGAGGTGGCGGCAGGGATGAAGAGGCAGTGTGGTAGAAACACTGTAGGAAGGACCAGGTGTGGGATCAGTGAGGGCCTGGGTGTGGGGTGAGGCAGACCGTGCCGTCAGTAATGCAGTGACTGAAGTCGACCCAGGACCGTCTCAGTCTGTCCCTCCACAGACTGCCTGCGTGGCCCAGTTTTAGCATTCAGAGGTGTCTCCTTCAGTGCTACGTCTGTGTGTTCAGCCTGAAGACACCTGCTGGGAGTTTCTCACCTCAGCTCATATTTCAAATAATAGTGCTTTCATGCCTGTTCTCTTTATGTTTCTTCTGGCAGAACCTTAGGAAGATACAGGAAATGGACCAGAGCGATGAGTCCCATACCGACCTGGAGGAGCTGAAGAATGCGGACTGGGTGAGGTGCCAGTGCCCTGCCCAGCACGCCTGCCTCACAAGTACAAGGTCCTGAGTTCAATCCCGGATACCGGAAAAAACAAACACAAAAAACAAGAATAAAACAACCCAAAAAACTTTAGCAGATTGTATAGTAGAACTGTAATTTCTTACTAGAATTTCTTTTTTTTTTTTTTTTTTTTAACTTGGATTTAGTTTCTTCCTTTGAATTCCCCAGTGATTGCACTTGTGAGGCAGGCACAGTGCCGCTGAGCTAAATCCCCACCCCTAGAATTTCTTCTTTGCATCATTTCAGTACTGCACTGGTGTGTTGAGGAGGACTATACTAGTGTGCTCCCCCTGTGTGAGCCAGCCCAGCTCAGTTGCTGACAGGCCGTGTCCCTTGCACCATTGTCACAGCTCCCCATTGGGCAAACCCCAAGTCAGGGCGTGAGACAGAAACCCAGCAGGCAGGGCTCAGGCAGTGCCAGGTCGTGGGCAGAGGTGCAGACTATGAACCAGGGCCCCCTGTACCAGCGGCTGTGCCTTCTCCCCTGAGTCCACACGTCTCAGTACACTGAACGGCAGGCCGGGACCTGGCAGCGTGTGCTCCCCAGGCTCCTGCTCTGTGTGACTGCGTGGTCCGGAGCCCAGTGGCCCGGTGCTCACTGACTGTCCTGCGGCTCCTCAGGCGCGCTTCTGGGTTCAGGTGATGAGGGACCTGCGCAACGGGGTGAAGCTGAAGAAGGTGCAGGAGCGGCAGTACAGCCCGCTGCCCATCGAGTACCAGCTCACGCCCTACGAGATGCTGATGGAGGACATCCGCTGCCGGCGCTACACCCTGCGGAGAGTGATGGTGAGCGGGCACAGGCTGGGCGCTTCTCTCAGCTGTTTTAAAAGCATTTCTTCTCATAACAGTTACCCTTGATTATTGTGGAAGATTTGGAAAATACATTAAGCTTAAAGAAGGAATGTTATAAACACGTACTTTGACAACTCCAAGAGAAATTCTTGGACATCTTGGGTCTGACCCTGTTTGTACTGCACATTTTATTTGGATAAAACAAGCTAATTTTGTTTTGTAACCAGTTGTTTTTGTTCAACATTTTGTGAGTATTTTTTCCATGCCATTATATTCAACCTGACTTTATTTTTTTTTTCTTTCTTTTTATTGAGGTTATTGGTACAATCTAGGTATACAATACAATTACATTCATTATTGGGATTCTGTACCTTTACATAATAGGTCTTGATTCTCATTTTTCCCCTTGTCCCTGCCCTCCCTTCACCCCCTCCTCCCCTCCCCATTTACAAACACTTTATTTCCATTTTTCAGTTTCTCATACTTTTTTCCTCTCCCTTATTACCTTTCCCCCACCCTTCCCACTTTCCCTACACCTTTAGCCCTTTACTTCCTATATCACACAACCAAAGAAACTATTTGGTATTTCAGTTAAAGAAATCTCTGTATGAACATTAAAAAAAGGGAATCCTAAAATAAAACTAAAAAGGAAAGTAAAAGAGAAAAAGCAATGATGCAACATCAAAATAATCCTTAATTCTGGAGATGAAAATGGTCCCTGAACATATTTAAATTGCTTCTCGCTCTTATAGTCTTATCTTATTCTTTTTTCATTATTTAGAGACTACTTTATTAGTTTCTGTAATCAAGCCCACGTAGATATGACCTTACATATTTAGTACGATGTGTTACCCCTGTACACAGGGGTCAACCTGACTTTAAAGGGCTGCTATTGTAGACCTTTGCCGCCGATCCTGATCTCTTGCTTGGTGCTACAACACAAGGCGAGAAGAAAGGCATAACAACAGAGCTGAAGAGATTGAGACGGGAGCCAGGACAACCAGTGCTTGAGCAGTCAGTAGCTTGTGCAAACAAAGACCCTGAACACCCAGAGCCTTCGATATTTGTTGGTGACATCGTAGTTACGCTGAGATAAAGGGGCTACGAGGAGTTGCTATGAATATGTTGCTGATGTGGGCAAGGCTTTAAAAGGAAGAGAAGAAGCATTTTTGAACTACTAACAGAACAGAAAAATATAGGTTGCACTTAATGACTTTGTCTTTTTAGTAAAGAAGGTTTTAATTCTGGCAGTGGCATTTGGGTGCAAGTCACTCTCACTTTGGCCAGTAGGCTTTGGCCAGACTTGCTTCTTAAAACAAGCCAGTTGTGGGGTTCACTCTTCACAGCCTGCACTGCTCATAGCCTGCTTTGGGCATGATCAATGTGGCAGTCCCTGCAGACTGCATCTTTTCTAACTCACAGCTCCCCTGAGTTCAGGGCACAACTCAGGCACCTGCATGTGGGCATTAGCAGCCTGGCTCACATGCCTACCTCAGGTCTCTGCGCAGCCACTGCGACAGCCTTGAGCTAAGACCAGAGGCAGAGCATGCCGGTCCCCACATGGCCTGGCGGTGCTCCTACTGTGACTGGTATCTCCTCCCCTGCAGATGGGCACAGCGGAGCACATGAGGCGCTGCCCAGTTGGGCTCTGGGACTGTGACGTGTGGCTACAGCCCTGCTCCTGTCACAACTATCTGAGCCCCAGGGGTCCTGCTGTCTGTGAGTGCTTGCCTGGCCCACGCAAGGGCCCGAGTTTGTCCCTGGCACCATGCATGTACACACTCACACATGTACATGCACAGTCCCCACACACAGACACACACGAGACAGATTCCACAAACACACGGAGAAACATACAGAGCACCGCTGTCTCAGGAAGCCGAATCTCCAGTACCTTGGCAGCAACACAAGCCTTCTGTTACCTTGAATGGGAGGGGATGTCTGGGCGGTCGGGGTGGCTTCAGTGACAAGGCCCCTGTGCCCCAACAGTGTCCCCATGGTCATTGTGATAGTTGCCTGTGGCTGCAGATGACCATGCTTTGTGTAGGTTTTCTGCAAGAGTTTCTGTTCTGTGTTTACGTGCTCGTCGTAGAGAGATGCGGATGAGTGCAGGTGTCTTGAGTCTCCACCGAGACCATTCTCCAGTTGATTCATTCAAGGATAGGTGCTAGATAATCACTTTCTACTCAGAGTCATGTGTACTATTTTATAGTCCTGTTCACTCCATAAACACTGAATACAGACACTGTGTGCGTGTGTGTGTATATGTATGTGTATATGTGTGTGTGTGTCTGTCTGTCTGTCTGTCTGGAGCATAGTACAGTGGACCCTTGACTTAAGAACTCACTTTGATCTCGAGGGCTGGTTGGAACTCAGGTTGGCCAGTGAAGGCTCAGACTCCTCTACACAGCCGTCATCGTCTCTCTCCTGCACACAGGCAGATCTCAGTGACTTTAAACACCGACCCAGGATCTCTCAGTGAACCCACATAGGAGAGGACGCTGTCACGTTCCTTCCAGAGCTCTGTATCTGAGGCCACCTGAAAGCACAAGTGGCCAGGTTTGGGTCTGTTGTGGTTTGTGTCCAGATGTCCCCCAAAGCCTCGTGTGGTCTTAGTAGGGCTTTTCATGAGTGGCTAAGTCTAGAGTGTGTGATTCATGCTGCAGTGGTAGGCCTGCAGGCACTAGGGTTAAGGGTGTGAGTGCTGCCTGCCCTAAGTAGTCTGGACACCATAAGAGAGGCAGGAAAACTGTTAAGGCCCCTTGTTGCTTTTGTCTCTGTGTGGGCACCATGAACTCTTTCTCCTCTGCGACGCCCCTCTGCCATGTGCCACTCTGCCTTGGAGCCAGCTGGTTATGGACTGAAGCCTCTACAAACTGTGAGCCAAATAAACCTTTCCCCCTTTTTACTTGGATGTTAGGTATTTTGTCTCAGCAATGAGAGGAAAATTACTAAGTCCGTATCTGAGACCTGGAAGCACAAGCGGCTGGCATTAGCATCCTCACTGAAGCCTTAGGTCCTAAGTTAAAACAAAAATTCCGGTTGTAACCCAAGTTTTTCATGGGTCAGGCCGGTCGTAACTCGAGGGCCCACTGTGTTTCTGTGCTGTGACAGTAGAATGTGCTTTGAGCCACGTGCTTGGTGTGCCCTTAACAGCCCCTTCTTTCTCTTCCCATGACTTGTGCTCTCTGCTCATTTCCCCAGCCCCATATCGGTAGATGATGAGGTTTTCTGTGTTCAAATGACAGTCATCCACATGAAAACATCTTGCACAGTTGTCTCCTTGGTTTAGCATCTGTGCTGGCGAGGTGAACAGATCAAAGGAAGTGCACATTTAAAATTTTAATGCATGTTGCCAGTTTTCTCTCCGAAGGCTGTGTCAGTTGACACATTTGCAGCAGTTTACTGTGCTGCCACAACTGGGTGACGTTGTCTTTTGTAAAACTGGCTGCTCACTAGAACGTCATCCGTCTGACCGGGTGAGCGCTTGACGTGATTCTCAGTGATTTTTCTCTTTAGCTAAAAGGAACTATTCAAACATTCATGTGCGTAAGCCAAGGTTGGTAGAAGTGTGTATGTATTGTGTGCAGAATTTTCTGGTGTTGGTTTTATGTTTCTTTTGCATTTTCTTTCCTATTTCTAGTCTTTTCTATTGACTTGTAATTACTTTATATAAAGAGAAATTTGGGTCAGTGGTGAAGATATTTCTCTTTTAATAGAAGGAAACTTTTTGAAGTTAGGTTAGGGATCCAGCATCAGCCAGTAAACTATATTTTGGCTTTGTACATTTTTACTGTGGTCCTATGTCATCATTAGTGAGTCTGCTGCATTTAAGATAAAAATGAGCAAAGACTTGTTTTTCAACAGTCAAGTTATTTAGCCCTTTTGTTTGTTGAAGGCTGAGAGTTTCAGAGTGTAGGTGAGCTTACAAATACATACTGTACAGTTTTATTGCTGATGTGTTGCTTGCCACACCAGCCCAGTATTTTTAGGTGTAACTGATACATTTTTAAGTGTGTGAAGGTCATAGGCAGGGACTGAAGGTAAAGACGCAGCAGAGTTTCTGCTTTGTGGAAGCCCTTGCTTTCCTCCCTCCCAGGACACACATACCGAGCCTCCCGCTGCAGGGCTGGGCAGGGAGCCCAGGCCTCAGAGCTGCTGGTGGAGTTCTGTGCCCTTGGGGAACTGCTCTGGTGCCAGCTCATAAGCCGGTTTCTGTTACTTTATAGACTTGGGCTTCAGAAAATCTTACTCATCAATATAATGCCACCCACTAATTTAAAAAAGAAATATTTTTGAAAAGAGTAAATGCAGGCCATTTTCACATGCTCTGTTTATGCCTGAATTCTGTGCTGAGTTGAGTCCTGAGGTGTGGCTGGGTAGCTGTCCCATGTAATATGTGTGTCTGTGGTACTGCTTGTGGTAATTGAATGGCTTAGCTATATTGGATATTGATTAGAATATTAAGTTACAGAAATGTAAAACATTTCAGTGGATTTTTTTCCAAAATATTTTGAGTAAGATGTTTTATTTCAGGTAACTGAATTATCCTTTAAAAATACAGATGTAGAGCCAGGTGTGGTGGCGCACGCCTGTAATCCCAGCACTCAGGAGGCTGAGGCAGGAGGATCGCTGTGAGTTCGAGACCAGCCTGAACTACATAGTGAGACCCTGTCTCAAAAAGCAAGAAAAATGGGGCCAGGGATTTAGCTCAGTGGTGCTGTGGGCTTCCTCGCAAGTACAAGGTCCCAAGTTCGACCCCTGGTACAAAAACAAACAAACAAAACACCTAAACAAAAAACAGATGTGAAAACTTACATCTTTTAGTTATAGTTGTATTTATTATAAACCAAAAAAATTTTAAAATTCAAATAAAAGCCGAAGGGAAACTTTGTTAATTTGCTTGTAGCTATGCAACAAGTTAGGTAATTGAATATTCTCTGTCTGGTAGGAGACACCACTCTTTCAGACTCCATATTTGCAGATCTGTTACTAAGTTTCCCTTTATCTGTTTAACTTTAAATCTAGCTCCCTAGAAACAAGGTAGAGTTCAGGGCATGGTTTTAAGATGTCAAAGACTGACTGTCTTGATGGTCAGAGCTGCTTTGGAGTTTGTGTCACTGCTATATGCTGTGCCTCCACAGCCCTCAGATCCGAGCACACCCACATACGCAGTTTCCCCGCTCAGCCCTGCTGCGGTGACACAGATTCTGCTCAGTGATGGGAAGTCGGATTGCACTGCTCTGTGCAGAAGGCCTTTTAGTCTTGCACAGGTGGTGGTGCCAGCCTTGGCCTCAGCTCTGTGCTGGGCCAGCCGTCAGGTGCGGGCATGGGCGGCGGTGTCCCTCCTGCCTGTGTTGGGGGGACGGAGCCCAACACAGTGGCAGTTCCGCTTTGCTTTGCTCAAACCAGATCCGGACACAAGTCTGGCCCATGGCGGTGACTGGTGGGTGGTGGCATGTGGGCAGAGGCAGGGACTTTTTGTGGCTTTCTGGGTTTTTTTTATATTTCTAAAAAAATTCTTGTAACACGTGGCTTTGAAAGGAGAGGACGTCAGAGCAGCAGCAGAGCAGGCAGGGCTACACGGTCACTGTCCTCGGCTCACACCGTGCGCTGGAGAGCCAGGAAGAGTGCCAGCCCCACAAGCCCTCAGCACCTGCGTCTTCCATTTCACTGGGACAGAAGCCAGGCAGAAGGCCTTGTACATTTGCAACACTTGGTCTACAAGGGGTCATCCCACTCCCGTTCTTAACTTCAGGCATGTTTTGGTGGAAGGAAGACCGTGTGTGTAATTCCGCAAAACGATGGAGCTGCACAGAACTTGGATTTTCTTTAATCTGCAGCTTTTCTCGCTCTTCTTCTCCACTTCCTTGGTAGAACAGGATGACACCGCAGTCATTCTGTGACCTCCACAGTTGTGAGGCCCACCTGCTTTTGTCTCCCCTAGGTGAACGGCGACGTCCCCCCGAGGTTGCGGAAGAGCGCCCACGAGATCATCCTGGACTTCATCCGGTCCCGGCCGCCTCTCAATCCAGTATGTGGTGTGCTGTGTTCTTGTCTAGGGCTCAGCTTTACTTCCTTTTCGACAAACCTTTGATTTTAAGAACCAAGAAACCCACCTGTACCTGTTCAGAAAGACGGGATTATCCCATGCAAGGCAGTCCAGGGCATCTGTGCCCTGACCAGCCAGCTTCGCAGTCTGGCTAGGAGGCCCTGGAGCAACAGCTGGGCATGGCACACTGGCAGCTCGGGCTGGACACCCTCTGGCGCTCGTGGTGCAGTGACAGTGAGTCTGCTGGCCCCCCACCTGCCAAGCCGTCCACTCGGAGTATTGTAAGCCATCGTACCCCCAAGCTACATCCCCAGGCTCTCTCACTTTTTTTTTTTTTTGAGAAAAAAAGTTAAGTTGCTAAGTTGCCCCAGCTGGGCTTGAACTTGCCATCCTCCTGCCTCAGCTTCCCAGAGTGCTGGGTAAAGGTGTGTGTCACCATGCCCGGTCATTTCCTCTGTTTTTTACCCCGACACACACACACACACACACACACACACACACACACACACTCTAGCCAGCTCTCACCAAAGCTTTGTACATAAAGTAACAAGAAAAGGATTTCTGTTTCGGTTTGTGTACATCCAAAGCAAAATAATAATCCATTTATAAATGTTTTTGAAAGAAGAAGTCAGCCTCTGGTGGTTTTAAGAAGGCAGGTCTGAAAGGGCCCTCACAGCAGGTTAATCTGCCTTCTCATCCCTTTCTTTCCTCAAGCAGAGAGTGAGGAAAATCATAACCATCATCTGAGAAGGCTGCAGTGCGTATCCCACAAGTGTCCGTTCACAAGTAGCAGTATTTGAGCATCATGGGCACACAGGGGATCCTGACGCTCAGCATGTAGGCCGTGACGGTGACCCCGCAGCCCTGTTAGTAGAACATGGCTGAGTCTCTGGGACCCCGTCACCCAGAGACCTCACTGCTTGGGACCTGGAAGTGTCAGTGGAGTGCAGCTCTCAGTGCAGTCTGCTGCAGAGCAAGCGCTCAGGGCACGGCCGCTGTGCTCTCTTCAAGGTCTCAGCCAGAAAACTGAAGCCCACCCCACCCCGGCCACGCAGCCTCCATGAGAGAATCTTAGAGGAGATCAAGGCAGAAAGGAAGCTACGGCCTGTCTCACCCGAGGAGATCCGCCGGAGCCGGCTCGGTGAGTCTGCAGCAGTGCTCGTGGGTCGGATGGGGTTCTCGTCCCTTGTTCCTGTGTCTCTGTCTCTCACACCCCGCACCCCTTCATGTGTACTGGAGATTTGCGTTTGAGTTCACAGGACAGGAAACCTCCCTGTGTGGTGCCAACAAGCGCGCTGGCAGTGGCGCTGTGAGCAGCCCTGCCAACGTCCACCAGGGCTCAGGCAAGTCTGTGCCTCTGTGCTCACGTGCAGGAAAGGAGTCCTCTGCAGAGAGGGTGGGAATCCTCACTCTGAGTTCTGTGGGAGCAGTGAAAGGGTCGTGGCAGCACCCAGCTTTCTGGTGGTTTCCTACGCTGTGACGCGTGTACGGAAGTCGGGGTTGCGTGTCAGAGACACAGATGGCGGGTTTAGTGCTCCACTTGCATTTCCGTCATCCTAGTGGTGGGCGTCACATGAGCATCTGACAGCTCTTGCCATTATGCTGTTTTTAATAATTACAGTAATGCGTACTATAAACACACATTGGTTTCTAATTACAATGAAGCCATAAAGTGAGGTGTCTGTAAGCATTTCTGTTTCTCAGCTCCCCTCCGATATCTAAGATTAAAGATGGCCAGGAAGTCAGAAAAGCATCGTCTGTGAACAGAAGACAGAGGCAGCTGAGCAAAATGGAATCCATGGGCTCTGTGTTTGCTGCTCAGCATCTCTGTAGGGTTCTCTTCTCTGAGCAGCCGCATCCTCCCCGGGGTGTGGCTTCCAGCCCACAGCACAGAGCTCTAAATGTGCAGACATACACTGCCATCCACCACAGGACAAGTGGACAGACCATGCTGGCCACTGCTCAGTAGCTTCTGACCATGCTTGGTGGCTGGGCCCTGTAGGTGTGGCTTGCTGGTGGTTTCTGGTCTGTCCCTGCCCAGCCTGCTCTCTTCCTGTCACCACGGCCTCCGATGGCATCCCTGCTTCCAGCAGTGTCCCGAGTTCAAACCCAGCCCTCACATGATGCTGAAACCTCTGGGCTGGCAGGGCCATGTCAGTCTCATCATTGTTTTCCTAGCACAGGGCTGGACTGGACGGAGCTGTCCCATAGGTGTGAAAACTGTTAACTGTGCATCTGGTTGCAAAGCTGCCCCACCCCTCTCTGATCTCTACAGCAGCAAGTTCCTCAGGAATGCCAGGGCCAAGTCTGCGTGAGTGTTGATCTACCTGTGAGCCCAGACTCATGGGCTTTTCCTAGAGTCCTACAGTGCACAGGGCTCCTTTAGTAACAGGGCATGGCTTTCCTCACAAGTGTAAGATCCTGCACAAAAAACAAGGACATGGTGATGAAGATGATTGTTTCAGACTGCGTTTAAGAAAGAAGAACCACTGCGCCATGAGAAAGAATAATAGGGGTAGTAGAAGAGACTTCAGCAAAACTCTGAAGTGGAAAAAACTTATCTCTGTGAGCAGAGTTTGCTCCATGTCACAGGCGTAAAGCCGACTGGCTCGGGACCAGACATCAGGGGACATCGCCACTGACACGGACTCAAGAAGAGCAAGACCATCACGGTGTGTGGGCGATGGTAGGTGATATCGGATGTCTGGTTCTGTCTGGTTCCTTAATGTTTCCACAGTGTCTGGAAAGTTTTGGTCCATCAGTCTTTCTTCCAGCAACTGGGGATTCATCGAGGAGTGAGGAACGGGCCCTACTCCCAACATGCTTCCAGGCACTGTGGTTGCACGCCTATCCTCATCATGAGGGCATTGAGTGAACGTTCACAACAGACAGCCAAACTGCATGGCATGATCAAAAGGTACTGTGGATAGTTAAATCTTAAAATTATTACAGTAAATGACATTGTCGAAGATGGCAGAGTGTTGAGCAGCAGAGAAAAAGCCTCTCTGGGATTTGATGTCCTGACACTGTAATATAGCAGTGCAAGGAGGAGAAGGAGGGAAGTGAGTCCCTAAGACCCAGGATGGATCTGAGGTGAGAATTGAAGTCTACAGGGAGAGTGAAGAGAGAGGCTCTAACAAAGAGGAGTGAGGTACCAAGCGGTGCTCTCTCCCAGAGCCCATACTCTCGGCGAGGAAACAGTGGGCCAAACCTGCAGACACATGGTGACTGCTGGCAACCCCAGAGGCCTCCATGGAGAAACACCAGTGGAACAGAGCAGTGGACACACCAGACTGCAACGACTGGTTAGTTATCCAGGTTCAGACCTCACCCAGGAGAAGGTGATTAGCCAGGACCCATCTTAGAGAGGAGCCAGCTGAGCTTGGAACTCAGAACAGCTGCAGGAAGACTCCATCTAGTAGGTCCCAGTACCTCAGTGTGGGTGCTGAGTTCAAGCCAGGTCAGGGAGTGGAGTTCAAGCCAGCAACTGACACATAGACTATTTATTGTAGGCTCGTGGAATCTGGTTCCAGCCTCATAGCCAGAAACCAGCCTGAACTTCAAAGGAACTAAGGGGGCAGGCTGGCTGGGATTCTCCACTACCCCACTGTGAAGCTGCAGCTAGCTCGCTGGGATTAATCAATTTGGCTCTGGACTCTGTTTGCCCACATTGCCTAATAGTGACAGCAGAGACACCTTGAATTGGATGTTTTGGGTTTTTTATCTTTTCCTTTTCTTTTTTCTTTTTTTTCCTCCTTTCTAGTTCTTGTTTTGTTTTGTGTTTTCTTGATTGTTTGAACACAGTTTCTAGTTTTTTGTTATTCTTACTGTTGTTCTGTTCTTGTTTTTGTTTTTTCCTTTTCTTTTTCCCACCTGTCTTCTTCACCAGTTTCCTAAAGCTTGTCTTTCAGCCTCACTTCTGATCTCTTCCTCTTTTTCTCTTTCTGTTTTTCACCCCCTAACCCCTTTTAAATCTTCTCCCTAAGGGTAGAATTGCCATATTAAGAGCTACAGTTTTTATTTTCTGGGCTGTATTTGGTGCTATTGTTATTGTTCATTGTACTACTTTAGCCAAGGTGACACAGTTGTGCTAATCAGTTGTTCCTCCTGGTGTACCAAGACTGAGATTGCCTAAGGGTCTTAAAAAAATACAAAAAAACTATAGGCCAGTGTCAAAGAACTGGCAGGTGGGCCAAGTAGGCAGAAACTTCTTATCCCCAGTAAATTGAAGATATAGGATCCTGAAACAGACCCAAAACCCAAAAGCCGACTAAACCTGGAAGACACTTCTGAGAAGTAGTCATTTCTTAAGGGTTCCCAATATTGGCAATAAAGCTACTTGGCATAAGCAACATACAAGCATCAACCCAGGAATCAAACTTTAAAAAAATAGAAAATGAGAAGACACTTAAACAAGATGCAAGGCTGGGGATTTAGCTCAGTGGGGCCGCCTCCTGCTTCACAAGTCCCAAGTTTGATCCTCAATACAAAAAAGAAAAGGAAAAAAAGAAGGAAGGGCTGATGGTGTGCTGCCCCAAGACCTTACCTGCCATTTGCCTTTGGGTCCTTCCCCACCTACTGGCTCCTCCCCAGCCCCCATTTGTATAAACTGAGCTCGTTTATTGTGTGCTGGTTGTTTGCTCAGTCTGCATCCTCAACTTCCATCCTCCCAACAGCCCACTGTGAGTGGGTAAACCGAGGCACAGAGCTGGCCAGGTACAGAAGGGAGGCTGTTCCTGCCACCTCTGTGGCAGACGAGGCACAAAGCAAGCCAGCAGGGAAGGCTGGGGTGCAGCTTGGTGGCAGGGTGCTGGTCGAGCATGCACAATGCCCTGGATTGTCCCCAACACTGCATATTAAAAAAAAAAACAAGATGCACCCCTCCCCCGGCTTTCAGCTCATCAAAGTCATACCCAGGGGACAATGAAGTGAAACAATCCAAAAGCCATTCACCTGGACTCTGAAGTGGTAACAGCAGAAGTAACAAAGCAGATTAGTAAGGCTCTAGAAAAAAATCAAAGCAGAAGTAATTTCCCAGATAACTACAGAGATGGTGACCAAAATGCAAGATGTGCTTAGTGACTCTAGAGCAGATACAGATAAAAAATAGAGGAGCTCAGGAACATGATGGAAACCATGAACAACCAGCATAGGAAAGAAATGGAATCCATGAAACAGATTCAGACAGACATTCAAGAGATTAAAAACTCCATTGAAAGTATACAAAGCAGAATGACTTAATGTGAGGACAGAATATCAGCTATAGAAGACAGGATTGCAGTTAGTGATCATGAAAAGAGAGATTTCTTAAAAATAGCAAGGAACCATGAGAAATCAATCTAGTAGTCCATGAAAAAGCAGGAGATAGTGCAAATGACACAAAAACCCTATTCACAGAAGTAATGGCAGAAAACTTCCCACACAGGGAAAAACAATTTGGCACACAGATGAATGAGGCATGTAGGCCTCCAATTAGCCGTGACCAAAAAGAAAATCTTCCCCAAGGCATACAGTAGTGAAGATTCCAGAAATTCAACACAAGGATAGAATATTAAAAGCTGTTAGAGAAAAGAAACAAGTCCCCTATAAAGGGAAGCCCGTAAGAATCATAGTAGACTTCTCAACACAAACTCTCAAGTCAAAGGAGAGCTTGGAGTGAATTATTTCAAGGAAATACAAGTATTTCAGGGAAAACAACTTCCAACCCAGATTGATGTACCCTGTAAAAGTACCCTTCAAAAGACATTGTCACTTGCCCCCTGCACTATTCTCCCTCTCACTTCTAACACAATCATCCTATCATCCTTGCCACTTTCTGAAGCAGTTCTGGAGTCCTTGTTCCTGTGTGTCTGCAGTTGTGCCATCAAAGTCCCAAATCAATTCACGACATTTCCCTTTCGTGGTCATTTTGACTTTGGGGAGGAGCTGGGAGACCTACAGTGCCAGGTCCAGTGAATGAGTTGGACTAGGACACAGTGTCACATTTTTATAAAAACTTTTTGTTGGATAGCACTTGGCAGAGCATTCACTGCACTTCTGGTCACATCTCATAAATCCACAAAAGAGGACTCCAGAATTCTTCATAAAGTAGAGAGAATAAGAATAAATGAGTTTGGGCCAGGGATTTAGCTCTGGGTTTAG